TTTATTTTGTATATCTCCTTAATATTATGCGTTTTTCCACAAGAACTTCCCTAACTATCAACAAATATCTTGAGGAGTTTCCAGGTCTAGTGCATTTCATCTATATCGACAGAAATACCCACAGACTTGTGGCGCCTACGCTTGACTTCACGAGCACGGAAACGCTCGCTCTCACAATGAAAAAAGTAGATTCCTTATCAAGATAATATTAATTATAATCAAAAATTTTCAATGTTAATTCTTTGTTTTTAATTTTTTTATTTTGTACATATAGTATATATGTAACATTCATGCATTGGTTCAAAGATATAACTACAAATAGTTCCTGACGAAATTATAAATAAGTTTATACAGAAATTTCTTGTTTTTATATAGATTTGGAACATGGTTGAGCAAAGTAGAATGCATTTACAAGAGGGTCATCTGTCAGTTATGTGGAAAGACACTACATTCAATTACTCTTACTTTTTATGGTTTGAAGATAATTCTGTATGTGCAGTTTTCTTATATTTTTAAATATATTAAAATATATACACATATAAAATATTTATGAAATAACAGATAAAATTCATTAAATAATCATATATATATATATGATTATTTAATGAATTTTATCTGTTATTTCATAAATATTTTATATGTGTATATATTTTAATATATTTAAAAATATAAGAAAACTGCACATACAGAATTATCTTCAAACCATAAAAAGTAAGAGTAATTGAATGTAGTGTCTTTCCACATAACTGACAGATGACCCTCTTGTAAATGCATTCTACTTTGCTCAACCATGTTCCAAATCTATATAAAAACAAGAAATTTCTGTATAAACTTATTTATAATTTCGTCAGGAACTATTTGTAGTTATATCTTTGAACCAATGCATGAATGTTACATATATACTATATGTACAAAATAAAAAAATTAAAAACAAAGAATTAACATTGAAAATTTTTGATTATAATTAATATTATCTTGATAAGGAATCTACTTTTTTCATTGTGAGAGCGAGCGTTTCCGTGCTCGTGAAGTCAAGCGTAGGCGCCACAAGTCTGTGGGTATTTCTGTCGATATAGATGAAATGCACTAGACCTGGAAACTCCTCAAGATATTTGTTGATAGTTAGGGAAGTTCTTGTGGAAAAACGCATAATATTAAGGAGATATACAAAATAAAAAGTTACACATGCAATAAAGTTCTAATTTATATGTAAAAATTTAAATAATTTTTTTTAATTTAAATTTTTTTAAAGAAAAAATTATTTAATTAAAATTTTTTGTATATATTTACATTAATATCATTCTTTTGCTGTTATAACACGATTCTTCTATATAAAAACTTTATATTAGATTGTTTATATTAATTGTTAACTTTATTTAGATCGTTTTATAAATAACAATCTAAAAAAAATTAGATTTAAAGAATATAAATAATTTTATGAAACTTTAAAAAAATTGTTGAGGAAAGAAAAGTCACAATCGTGCCTCTTCAAGTCTAGAAAAGGATATGATCCTAACGTGAAGTTTTTTAGAGCTTTGACTTTCAGGAAGTCACTGAAATCATTTAGCTTTTGTCTCACAAGTCTGCCAACCGTTGTCAAAACATCAATTCCTTGCTTCAGAAAATTCTTGTCAAAACAAGTCAAACGCAATAGTTCTTTCAAAGTCTCTACAAAGCCAGAAGTATTAGCTTCAATCTGTAGGACCACTTCGGGATCTCTGGATCGCAGAAGATCACTGTACTTTTTTCGGACAAAATCCCATTTGGTCTGTAACCTTTTCTGACACATATCCACATCATTTCCGACATTCGAACGATTCTTTTTAATTCCTTCTAACACTTTTTTTATTGCTACATCGAGATTCTCAAAGGCTGGTTTCATTTCATCGATGTCTCGTTGAAACTGCAGATTGTTTATTAGATTTAAATAATGGAAACTGTCGCATAAACCTGAAGAAATGGACAGATTTGTAGCTTCAACGATTGTTATCAAGTTAATGGAATCTGATAATTCGAAGATGTGAACTGCATTGGCTGTATAGTTATGTTGACAGCCGAGGAGAAATGACTGACTGTAGAGATCATCGTCAGTTAAGGATGAGAGACCTTCGTTCACAGAAGATTCCCTGGAACCTCCTACAACAAAAAAGCTAAGTATAATCTATTTAAATTAAAAATTCATTCTTTTTATTCACTAAAAAATTCTCATTCCCAACAAAAATATATATCCATTACCAAAAATAACTATGCTGCAAAAACCTACTAAAGAGATCCGTTATGTCCTCTGAAGTAGGAGTGGCCAGTTTAGCTCCGAAGTTTAATTTCGTTTCATCGCTTTTCAAAACACTGCTCTCTGGTAACAAGATATCATCGCAGCAATCATCATTGCTTTCCGACTGATTTTGCTTTCGCTTTTTATTCACTACCCAGCATAGCAGGATCATCAACAAAATGTCCGAAGCGTACAAATCATGAGCATTCTTGCTTGAGTACAATGATAGAAACTTTGACCCCACTAGGAGCAGCAAATGCAGATTGCTAAATTCAGACTGTGAATTTTTCAGCTTGTCGCAGGCATCATGCAGCACCTTGAGGACCGAGGATGCTACTTCCGCATTCACAGACAATTGTTCCACTGCTTCGGTCAATATGCTTTGTTCACAATTTCTTAAATTAGACCATGCATCCAACAGAGAAGATACTAAACACATCTTCTGCCAGTTAGTCTTTAATCTATAAAAATCAAAGCAATTAGCCAGTCAGTTGTAACCATTATTATAACTATTTATTAATGATCATTGTCTATAGTCACAACATACAATTAAACACTACATAATCCTTGACAAATAGAAATTTGCTAAATTTAAAATTTTAAAAGATTACAAAAAATTTTTTTATATAATGCAATCTATTATATTAAGTATATTCCAAATAATTAAATATTTTATGTATTTTTTATTTCATTATTTATCTACTGTTAGGATTGGATATGTATTTGAAATATTTTTTTATTAAATACAGTATTTGTAATTTAAATAATAAGATTGATTGTCAATTTTAGTATTTGAAGTACAAAATATAAAATATACTTTTATGTGTGTGTGCTACAATAAAATACAAAATATAAAATATTTTCATACTTTGCTGAAATACAAAATATAATTACTGTTACAAATACTGTTTTTCAAATAAAAAAAAATATTTCAAATACATAATCAGCCCTGTTTGTTGCATTCTCTCAATTAATCTACTAGCTGTATACTAACATTGCAATATCTGGACCACACACGTGTCGTACAATAGATACACATACTCCTAGTGTATGTCTCATGAGCTCTATATCTTTTGCAGCAATATACATGAATGTATAGCCAATGTACTCATCAAATACCATGTTAGTTCCATCATGGAACTTCATGGAAGTATAGGAATTTCCGAACTGCGAAGCCATCACATGTTGTGAGGTGACTATGGGTGAAAACAACTGTATTATGATGTTGGGACTTGGTATAGAATCTTCCAAGTCTGTGATATCCTATAAGAAGTACTTGTTGTTATTCTTTAAAAAATTAACACTAACCTATTGCAAATATTTCATTGCTATCTTGGAATAATTTTTTCATACAGTCTTTTCCTTCTTTCTTAAATATTCAAAGAATAACTATACAGCTTTAAAATCCGATTGCATCAACATTACTTTGATTTTAAGCAAGGCTTAAAACTCTCTTTGTCTCTGTCTTTTTTTAGGCTTTAAAACAAGATAGAGTTTAAAGTCTCGTTTAAAGTCAAAGAGAGTAACGTTGATGCAACCGGGTCTAACAGGTTGTAAAACTCACAAAATTAATCATTACGTCATTGTTATCTGAAAGTTATCAATTACCTTATCATCATCGAGCAGTCCCTGCATTCTTGCCAGCTTCAAAATATGGCTTGCAAATTTTTTATTACATTTTACAAATAACACATCATTCAGATGATCGAATATCAATATAGCTCTCATCTTGCTTTTGTGATTTTAATGTGTAACTGTCATGTCGTGAATCTCTAGCAAACAAAACTCCGTTTTCGTTGGATATTCTTATTGAGTATGCAAACACGCTGCTTATTGCTTATTATTGTTTACCTCATTCGCTTTAAAACGTTTAGATTTAGGTCATTTTGGCATTGACAATTATGACATCGCCGTTATTGACGTCGTAAAATTTACCGATCATCGGTACTTTATCTCACAACTTTGGTACTTATTACTCTAAACTTTTATGGTTATTCTACAATATGCTTTTTGTTTCCCGTTTCTTGCTTTTTGTTTTCTCGTATTCTTGAACAAAACCAAGAAAAATATCATGTACGATCTGTCTTTTCTGAATTACTGAAGAAAAATGTTGCTTCACTGAGACCAATCACAGATCAGTATTCAAAGTCCATTCTCATGTTACTACACATTCTTATTGGCTAATGATGTTTAAACCAATTTTTATGAATGCGATCTAATTAATATATGAACCACGATGCAAGATAAATCAAGTAATAAATAAATGTAATTCGTTAATAGATAATTGTAACCACAAGTAATTTATTTTTTAGTAGAGATATAGAATTTTAAATATATATATATATGTGTGTGTGTGTGTGTGTGTGTGTGTGTAAAAGGTCAACTTAGAGCCGGTTGTTCCACCTTTTGATAAATTTTATCTATGGTAATCTGGTAATCTGGTAAATCTGGTAATCCACACATGGGTAATCTTGCTACTTACCCAACAGGTAAAATTTACCAAAAGATGGAATAACTAGCTCTTAGTCAATTAATCGATAGACCGTGGGTTTATAATTCTAAACTGTTTTACATTAAATTAATTGGACTTATGAATAAAAACTTATGAGGAACCTATAAAGGAAAACACAGTGACTCATTTCATCCATATTTTAATTATTCACTATTCATTTATGCTATGTTTACATACAAAAGTTACTTTATTTAGTCTATTTTATTGTGAAATAAGTTTTTAATTATATCTACATTGTTATCCTAAGTAAAACATATCGCAGCAAACGAGAATGGATTAAAATGGATTGAAACTTTTTTTCTATCCGAATGCGTATTTTAAATAGCAAATACTTTTTTTTGGAGATTTAATTAGATTCAATTGGATGCGATTGGATTGAAAAACTGCATTTCTTATTTAAAATTTTGAATTGAACAGTACACAGAATGCACAGAAAAAGATATTATTTTTAGATTGAAAGGCGTAGATATGCTCCATGCAATTCCTATAAATGAATAAAAATGCATTCAGGATTAAAAAGCATTTCATTTTAATATTCGTGAATCAATAGAAAATCTGAATTTCAATTCATTTCAATTCATTTCAATCCATTTCAATTCTCGTTTGCTGAAATTTTCAATTATTTTGATATCTTAAATATAAAAAAAAGAAATTAAAAAAAATAAATTAAAGATTTAAAAATACGAAAAAAAACTAAATTCTTAATAATAAAATTTGAAATGATGCGCGTTATTTCAGTAAAAATACAATTAAAATTTAGATAAAATACATGATTGTTAATTAATATATCGAATGTTCATCCATTATTAAAAATATTATTAAAAGTGTTTTTGAGCATTATATCGATTATTGTGGATTCCAATTCCTCTGCCATTGACAAATCCTGTAAAATCTATTTGTATTGTACCAATCTATGCATGTAAATATTAATTACATGATGCAAGCTTACTGAGATAAGGTTGATGATATATATTCGTCGGTGGAAATGGCATAGGAAGTACGGGTCCTGGAAAAACAGGCATAAGCATAGGTGGTGCTGGTATTCGAGGCATCGGCATCAGCATAGGTCTAGATAAACGCTAAAACAAATATTGGTTTGTAGAAATAGTTACTTAAATATATAATAAATTGCTGGATACTACTTCAGATAACTGCAGTTCAATCTTATATATTTTATATTCTTTTCACAACATTGATTGAAACAAAAGTATTATTTTCTTTTCTGAACATTAAAATTAGATGAACTTACGTAGGAATTTATGTAGGAGCTATCCGAGGGAAGATCAAAATAATTTTTTTTCGGGAATTCAGTTATTATATTGCTCTCCCTTTCTCTATCTCGTTCACTGGTTAGTGAACAACTTCTATTTCTAAAAGAGAAATACTTTTATATTCTTGTTACACAAGAAAAGTTTTACATATTTTATTAAAATTATAATTTCATTAAAATAACTTCAGTATAAACACAAAAACAGAAAAATTTGCATTCTATGACAATACACAAGTCCGCTATGCATGCATAACTCTCTAAACATACATTTATTGAAATTTTTTTTGAATTTAACATTTTCTTTTATTTTTAAATTGTTTATCTATTTATACTTTCTTTTTCTCATTTCTTTATATCCTTAACAATTAAGTTTTATTTTGTACCTGTAATGAGATCTCGATCTGAAAGATGCACTATGATGATGTAACGAATTTCTTTCATTTCTACCTCTATCTTTCTCTTTGCTTTCCCTTGTTTCCTTATATCGCCTTCTGGAACGTAAGAAATTTTAACTTTATTTATGTATAATACACATATATTATTTATGAAATACTTATAAAAATTATTTAAATTCTTATAATCTTTCAATTATGACAGATTTTTTCCAGAGCATAAATAATAATAATAATAACTTTGTTGAGTGCAACATAAATTAAAAATTAAGAAATAATAAAATTTCATACAAACAACATTTATTATAAAAAGACTTATCGTTTATCATTTAGCAATTTATTAATTCCTTATTCATTAATAAAAAAATTGGGACTAACCTGTCGCGATTGTTATCTATTCGGCTCATAGTTGACTTGTATGAGCTAGAATCAATGTGTTGTTAGCAACATATACAATAAATATTACTATTACTACAATATCATTATTTACAAACATAATGAATTAATTATCAAGCCATGAATAATTGATTTTATATTTATAAGTTATATATTTATAATTGGAAAATAAAAAATTGCAAGATTATTAAGATTTATATTATATTAAATACTTCAATATAAAATATAATCTTAAAAATATAAATTAAAAAAATATATAACACAAAAATTGTACTAAACATAAAAATTTTCAGATATTGACAATAAATAAATTTAGATTCAATAACAAAAAATAAGATATATGTAATCCAGATAGCAAAATGACGTTATTTTAACGCCAAGATAACGACAAATAACATCAGCTAGCTACTTGGATACATCTATGACAAATAACTTTATATCCATAACACACATATTCATGTATAGCTGGAAATAAAAGATTAATAAATTTAAAATAACTACTTAATTGCATAATTCATACATCTCAAAAAAGCCAAATATAAAAAATTTCCAGATACATGTAACGAACAAATTCATATTCAATAAATAATAATAAATGAAATGAAAATGTTCTTTGCTAAAAAATATTTAAATAAGTAGTTCAAAAACAACTTTATATCCATATAATATATTGGTATGTTTAATACATACTCCATCCAGAAAGTAAATTATGTTTATAATCGTAAAAATAATTTCGAAGATCTATGATTTTTCGCTCATAATAAAAAATTTTATATATTTACAAAGTTCATATTAATAAAAAATATATATTCATAGATTTCTCGGAATGTAGAATGTTGTTACTAATTTAATATTGAATATTACAATATACATCAATATATAAATCATATTTTTTTCTCTAATAAATTTACAAAATATAATTTTTACTTACATTTTTGTTTTACTTTCTAGATTTACTGAATAAATTCTTATTTATCTAGATACCTTTTTCTTCCTCCTTTCTTAATTTGTACTTTCACTATTCTTTTTTATAATAATAATATATATATTTTCTTACCTGTGTTATACAAAATTTACCTGATCTACAAATTTTTCATTAAATGACTTCTTTTCACCAAATGGACCTTGCTGCAAATTTTATAATAGATAATAAATGCGAAAATTATAAAAATACAATACTATATGTATAATTATATAATACAATAATATATATAATTAGGATTATTTTTGAAAAATTCTATAAAAAATCTAATAATTATATAAAAAATTATAATTATATATTCATGTAAATAGTAATAAAAGATACATATTCAAAACTCAAATGTCTACAAAGAATATATACATTAGAAAGAAATTGTTTTTCTAACTCTGTTTTGAATAGTATATTTATAGTAATATTTTTAAAAATATTAAAAAAATATATATATATCTAAATTTAAATTTAAAACAGAATATTATTTAAAGTAATAAAGATACCTAACACATACAGAAAAAGAATATAATGTTTTATACTTATCTTACATATTTTTTTCTTACCAGAGTACTTCATGAAATCCGTTATTCTCATGTAGCATGGATATAATAACTATATTTATGGTTATTATTTCATAATTTTCAAAAGTTACAAATAAATATTACAATTTATATAATAATTTGACAATAAGTAATTCTTCAAAGAATTCAATACATTCGATTCTATACATTATTAATTCATTCATTTTTAAGAAAATTCTATAATATATTGAATAAACTACGTAAACACTAGAGAATTTAATAAGTAAAAATATAATATAAAAAAAAAAATAGAATAAATAAATGAATGGAAAAACATATATCTTAGAATATTCTTTAGCTTATGAATATTTTAGTTACAATAAAACGTTTCTTTAAGTCAATTTTTGTGAATTGATAATTTTTGTAAATTACGGAATTCTAAAAGTCAATATTGCCCCCCGATTCGATTTTAAATCATTCAGTCACTTTTCATTAATCTTTATAAATTATAAGAAATATCAGAAAATAAGAAAGTCACAAAGTTATTAAAGAAATATACCTACAACCGACATGCTTAACGCCTCGAAAGAATAAAGAAAAACAAGAAACATAATATATAAATAATATCGTATTGAGACAGATTAGTATAATCCAGAATAAAATATCTTGTGAATTATTAATTTTTTGATAATTTTATATTAAGATTTCATATATAAAGTTATTTAGTTTTCATATAAAAATGTAATTTAATTATTTAAAAAAATCGTATATAATTTTGTATAAAGGAAATATTGATGTCAATAACATTTTTTAAAATTTTATAAAAATATTTAAAAGATTATGCTATAAAATAAGTTAATATCATATTTGCTTTCGAAAACAATAGATATTTAATTAAAAAACCATTCTATTAAAAAATCATTTTATATATCTTTTTTTAGTTTCGTCATTTTTTTTTCTTCACTTTATTTATGTAAAATGCACGTACAAGTGCATATAAGCAATACTCAATACATCCACATAAATTTAATAATTTAGTATATGTGTGCTGTGTGTTAATGTACGTATACATATATGTATGTGTATATATGTATATGTATTATAAATCTTATATATCCATAATCTTTTATGTTGATATAGCATAGATCAATCCAACAATGTTGTTGTAAATTCTATACTGTATATAGGAAGCAATACTCAATATATCTCGTACACAATATGTCTTGTGTCCCATAACTCTTTATTAATATTTCTGCAAGTGAAAGAAGATGAAATTTTCTAAATCTAAAAGTTCCTTTCCCAATTTTGGCTCAAATCATTAGTTACTGAATTATTAACGATTAAAATTGATCGATCAGATTGCCTCCAGCCGAAATACGAAGAAGCACATCATACCAAAGTGCTTCTCGCTCTTATTGTACTTTCTCCCGATTACAATTTTATTATAATTTTTCATATTGACTAATTTGATCGATCAATTTTAATCATTAATAACTCGGTAAATAATGATCTAACCCAAAATTGGAAAAGAAACTTTTTGTGTAACATTTCATCCTCTTTCACTGCCAGAAATATTAATTAAGAATTGTGGGACATCTTGTATATCCATATATGGTCACGAAATTAGTCGGTCGAACAATTTGAGAAATCATCGATATAATAGCCGATAATTCATAAAATTGTAAATTTAATTGTAAATTGAGAAAACAATTTTTGTAACTAAACTTCAGAATCAAATATATTAATATCTTAAAAAATTTCTATATACATACATTCATATGTATGTATATATGTATAAGCAATACTCAATATATATATAATATAGTATACATAAATATTTGTATATATTTACAGATTTAATAATCAATACATACCAATAATGGTGGATTATATCATCATTATGACTTCTGTTTGTGGAAGCGTTCTTCCTTGTTGACAATTCCTTCTCTAAAACCAAAGTAGCCCAAACATATTTTTTCAATATCTTCTCAGTTGTTATATTTAATTTGTATTTTATAATCCAAATATGTAATTTTATCTTTTTACAGATATAAAGAAAAATTGTTTTAAAGAATATATGTTTGCACATAAAAATGAAATCGTTACATATATAATTATACTAAATTGATGCATTAAATTTTTTTTTAATAAGTATATAAATACCCAATTGTTCATCTTGTGAGAAAGTGATTTTCCGTATTTCTTCAGATTTTTTTATTTCAATATGTTTGAATATTGGACATGCACCTTCATCTATAATTAACCATTTTTTTAATTGTATAAATTATACAAAAGTCTTTATTGACAAAATTGGAATTCTTCATCATGTTGAAATTGAAACTCTTCATTATTATGAAAATATTTAATTTGATCATATAATATTAATAACAAATTTTTCTATAATAAAAATATTAAATAATTATAAATATCACAAAGCTGACATGCTTTACCTTGTCTTCGTGGAAGAATTATGTCATGTTTTGAATCACATTCGATGTTATTTGATGTAGTCTGATAATTTGTTGAAAGATTGTCTGCTTTAATAGTTACCTTAAGTTTTTTCATATCAATTATACTTTCTGGGCTGTTAAATATCACTGATGTTTTCCTCCTAAGGTTATTTCAAAAATAATACGTCAATTTTAAGACATTCTTTCTACATTAAAAGTTAAAATAAAATAAGTTTAAGAAGAACATTGAAGTTATTCAAATCACGTGCAATTCATTTAATCCTTACAAAATCATACTCAATTTGCTTACCATCGTGGATCACTAGAATCTATTTTTATCTACTCAAAATGGTTTAAAAAATCTCTAAAAATTCACGTTCAACTTTTTAGAATAAATATTTAAACTTCATTTTGGAAAATAAAATGTAATATAAGTTATAATTATCGAAATACTTATAAGTTGGAAAAAAACAAAAAATTGCTTGGTCACTATAATAGATGATCCATAATAGTAAGGTAAGGAATAATATTACATTTTATATTATACTTTTGATACTATTCATTATTATTTGCAAATTACAAAATTGTTACTTTTTTGCAAACTGTTCAAATATATTCCATATTGTTTAATTATTAATATTTAATTCAAAATTTCTATATATTCTGTTATTACTCTTGCCCATAGTTAGGGGAACTAGTTTTTCTTCGATGTGGATTATTGTTCTTGCTATGCTGTAAAAATTCTTGTTTGTCAGAGTTTTTCATTAATTTAGCTTGTTTCCTTCTTTCTTCATACTCATTAATCTTCCTTGATCTTAGTTTTTCATACTTTATCAAACGCTCTTGATCACGATGCCATTTCTCTCTTTTCGATCTTAATCTATCTAGCTCTTCTGCTGTGAATCGCCATTTTTTGTGAGAATCCATTATTGTCACTATAAACATACATCCATAGAGCAATAATAGGATTTTATAAAAAATCAAACAGAATTTATTAATGATTCAATAAATACTAATTAACACAATATCATAATTTTCTATCCAATAATGTAACTGTTACATATAGTAAGTGTTATTCCATTTATATTGAGAAAAAGTAGAAAATTATATTGATGTAATATTATTGTTGAGAATTATTTAGAATATGGACTGCATTGTCGATTTTAATGAAATTAGGCTCATTCGACACTTTTTGCTCGAAACGGAAGAATCTGTAATAAAAAAACTTCGGCCCAGTAAACCGTAACATTAAGCGTTAAAGTTAACTACCATTGAGATTAGGAAATCTGTCACTAGAGACCTGTTCTTTTCGGCTGAATTTTTGAAGTGTATGACAATTGACCACGTGATCCAACTGCGCATAAGCCAATCACAGCGCTAAAAAAAAACCCAAAACTCCCTACGCAGAAGTCGCTGTGATTGGCAATACGCAATTAAACCACTCCCGAACTTTTGCACCAGTTCATCTTTTTTCCTTTTCTTTTCTTCTGGAGAGAAAAGGAAGAAAGATAAACTAATGCAAAAGTTCAACCAAAAAGAACAGACTTAAAATAAGGTTTATAATTGTACTGTTCCACATGGGTTTCGACTTTCCACGCGAAGTGACTCTCACCCCCCCCCCTCCCTATAAAGGGGCGTAAAACTTTTATAATTGTACTGTTGAGCTGCGTTTAGAAATTATTATAGCTTAAAATTATCTGACCCAGATAATTTTAAGCTATAGGTTACGCCACGTATATTATAATAAAGATGCACCCTAGAGTTATCTAGACATAATTCCTAGAAATCGATTCTGTATCTTGAAACGAGATGAAAATTACAAAAGTGAGCGAATTTACTAGAATACTGATAATTTCATTGATCAAAACTTAATAAATTTGCTTACTTTTGTAATTTTTATCTTGTTTGAAGAATCAATCCCCTGAACGTAACCTTGCAAAATTGAAAACCACGTGCAACGATACAATTATAGAAGTCATGCGCTCCTTTACAGGGAAGAGGAGAGGTGTGAGAGTCGCTTCGTGTGGAAAGTCGAAACTCATATGGAACAATACAATTGTAGACCTTATTTTGTAAAGACAGAGCATGGACTTCTCGATCGTATCTAAGTGTATAGTCGACAAAAATGAGAAAGAGGGAAGAGACGGCCAGTGTCTTATTCTACTCAACAATATAACGAAAGAGAGAATGAGAGAGAGATAGGCCGTCTTTCACGATCCGTCTCTCTCATATTTATCGATCATATTACTTAGATACGATCGAGCAGTCCATGCTCTAAGGATCATTCCACATAAACTTGCATAATCATATGTATAAAGAAAATTATCCAATCACATTTCTGTCATAAAGGCCGGTATTCATAGTCAGATTTTATATTTAAGACAGTCTTAAATACAATCACAAGATGAACTAATCAGAGAGCCGCATTAACGACTTAGACTAAGACAATACTTAAGACGATCTTAAAACAAGAACAGACTATGAATTCCAGCTAAAGACAAACGTAGGACGATATTCATAGTCCGATTTTATTTCAAGATTGCTTAAGTAATGTCGCTAATACGGCTCTCTGATTGGTTTGTGATTTCTTAAGATTATATTTAAAACAGTCTCGAATATAAGATGACTATGAATACCGGCCATAAGATACGATTGAATGATTTTCTTTATGCATATGTTTATGCGGCCATGCATCGTGTGCCCTAAAACAAGGAGCACAGACTTTTGCATAACGCATAATACGTGATGCATAAGAAAATGTACCAATTAAAGTCCTTCGTTTTCTTCTTTTCCATGAAATAAAGAACTCTGGTTGAATTTTTTATGCTTTATGTGTTATGCGTTATATAAGAGTGTGCTCCCTGCTTATGCCTGTTATTTTGCCTCCGATAGATTTCCTAACCTCAATAGTTGAGTTTAACGCTTAATATCTCAGTTCGTGGGGCCGACTTAACGTTTTTTCTTACAAATTTTTTCGTTTCCAGCAAAAACGCGTCGAATGAGCCTAATTTCATCAAAATTGGAGATGCAATGTGTATTCTAAATAATTACAGAAGTATTAAATAAAAAAAATAAAAAATGCATGCTTATAAAATATTTGATAGTAGAACATATTCGAATGAAAAAACGCAAAATATCTCGTACTTTTATTTAATATTTTCAATATGCAAAATGACGCTGAAAAGCCTAACCTGAAAGTGAAATTAACGTAAGCACGTGGTTATCTGAAAATATTGGCTATATCTCTAATAAAAATAATTATTTAATATTGTTAATATTACCTGTGCACAAAGAGTGGACGATTTGCGAAAAAAATCTTATTTCCTTTCCGAAGAAAAGTGAAACGCCACGTGGTTCGAACAGAACTAATAAATGACCAAATTGATTATGCAAGTCATGGAGCAACAAGATCAAACTCGAGTCTGAAAGTGGGCTTCAAATACGTTTCGGAAAATGTAAGGAAAATCGAGATTTTAGTGCCATCACGCCTTGCGGGAAAAGTTAGAAGTATTGACTGGTCATAGATCACACGTATATACAGTCAGAAGCAATGAAGTGGCGACACTTTTTTTTTAATGAGTTTAAGAATCAAAGAGGTTGTATATATAGAATAGGGGAACTAGCTAAGCACTGAACTACCGACGAGATACTATTAAAGATCGACATCCTTACGGGAGTTTGTGTCTTTGTGAACATTGAAGTAATTAAGAGTTAAAAACTGATAATATTGTAATTATTATTGTAATTTTATGATTTATTAGTTTAGTAGACATATATATTTATGCATTTAGAACTTAATAATACTCAATTTTTCTTTAAAATTGTGATTTCAGTGTTATCGTCAAAGTTTTATTATCAACAGAGATGATAACTGCACAGAAAAAATTGTAATTTTTCTGCAATATATAAGATATTATAATTTTACAAATATGCATATTTATTTATGTAACACTTATGTAACAAAAATCATGAATTTAATAATGTATGAGCCAAATATTTATGTTAATAATAGCAAACTTATATCAATTGTCAGTGTTCTTCATTTACTTCTCTCTCTCTCTCTCTCTCTCTCTCTCTCTCTCTCTCTCTCTCTCTCTCTCTCTCTCTCCGGGCCCTTTTTATACTGCCAAAAATTTGCCCAGTTGACGGTCTTTAATAATATCTCGATGACTGAACTATCTTAAGAACCAATCACAGAGAGGTTGGTCACGTGACCTGATATCTCTTTTCTATACATTACGGTTTTCCATTACGCATTTACTGCACCTAGGCAACTTAGATAAAAAAAAGTTGGGAATTAACAGTCTAGTGTTATAATAGAAATATGTGATAAAAATGGAAATACTGTGTCAGAAAACCCATGGAAAATCGAGACGATGCGATTTTAGTGCTGTTGCGGGAAAAGTTGGAAGTATATACCACATGATAACGCGTACGGAATATACATGTATATATATATATATAACACATCGGTCAATAAGTCCCCGGTCTAGCAAAGAAAACACAAGTGTTACATAAAAATTCGAATTTATTCATCAATATAGTTTCCTTTTAAGGCAATACAATCAGTCCAACGCCTTTCCAAACGTTCGATGCCGGTTTTGTAGAACGATTTTGGCTGACCCTCAAAATACGCATCAGTTTCGGCGATGACCTCCTCATCCGATCGAAATTTCTTCCCAGCGAGCATTTTTTTGAGCTCAGCGAATAGGAAATAGTCGCTGGG